TGGAAATTTTGTATATTTTCTCATTGATAATTGTTCATATATTTTCAAAATTTTTTAAATTTTATTTTCAACAGAAAGAATTGTGTGGCAATAGTTTTAGCATATTTCTTATCATTAATTTTATTATTTTGTTTACCATTGTTCAGTTTGTTAAGAGCTCTTCAGGTTTTACAATGTGCAAGAGCAGGTTACTTGAGTGTTGGCCTGGAACTGAATGTCCCACTAGTATTGTATTCACGGTGGAAGGCTCGTCGAGAATGTCTTTCACATGTTGCTAAATTTTGTCGTAAAGATATTTTCAAAGCCGATCTAAAGCAGTACAAGACAGCGATCATATTTGGGACCGAAACTTTAGTAAGTTGAAAATTTGAAGCAAGTTTGTTGTATCTTAGGCTGTTTTTGATTAAGTTAGATGATATGCATAGAGATATTCGTGTTGACTATGGCATCTTGAAATTAGTTCTTTGAAGTGTCATTTAGCTAGAACCAAAATTTTCTCGTTATACCATAAGGTACCTATGCGTGAGCACTTTATTGCTACTTAAGTGAAAAGTAAATGGGACAAATTTTGCAGATGAGTGATTTGTCTATGAAAATTATGGAAATGAAGACTGGTTCCTTCTTGATAGCTTGTCGTTTTCCATTACCGCCATCCGAAGGGAACATTCAGTGGCTATTGCTTTGCACCATTGGAATTAGCTTTGATGCTGTTTGGTTATATGAAAAAATTCGTTAGTAAATTTTTGCTATCATATGTTTTTACATTGCCTTATTCTAAATCTTTGTTTCTTCATTTCATGATATTTATTGTAATTCACAAGTAATCCTTAAATAAGGAAATAAAAAATCACTCGTAATTGGAATGTAGCAGCACTTCAAGAATATTGCCAAGTATGACGTCAAAAACATGCCATTGAAATAGAAACTGTCGTGAGAAATTTTCTTTGTTTCGGGAGAGCAGATTGGTATTTTACAAGAAGGTTTATTGAAAGGAAGGTTGGAAATGTTGACAATGAGACGATGAACGGTATTGAAAGATGAATGATCAAATTCCTGATCATGGTTGGTAGCGAATTAATGGAGTCCCTCTGTTCAGAGAAAGGAGTGCACATCTGGTTGGGGTGAGTCCCAATTGATCTAATAATGTCCAATATGTAGTTACATATACCCAACAATGATAGTCATGCAGAGCTGCGTGGATAAGTCAAGTCAAGAGCATGTGATCAGGCAATGTGATGTGATGAAGAGAAAAAAAGGGAATTGTGTGATTACTCGTTATTAGTTAGATTTGTTGTTAAAAGGAAAGAAGTGAACGTGTAATGATGGGAAATGTTAGTAGGCTATAACTGTGAATGACATTCGAGCAGCACGAAATAAAGAATATATCGTGTGGCAAGAAATTAAATTTAACATTGACGAAAGATTGTGGAGGGTAACTTCTTTAGTCTACAGAATCTCTGTTCGTGTGGGTAATTTTGTATCATAAATTTTCGGGTTTCCTGATAAAAACTGATGACAATAATGTATATTACTTTGAAGTTTTTTTTTTTGTTTTGCACATCGCGTTTCTTCATGATGATTGCTTTATTCTCACATTTCTTGAGGAGTAAGGGAGAGCATTGGACAGTGTGTTGGTCACCTCTGTGAAACCTTATCATTTAATACATTGTAGTGATAGCACTGTAACTTTCTTTTTAATTCTTACTGTTTACAAAAAAAAAGTGGAGATAATCTTAAACTATAGAGTTCCGGGACATTTCGCCTTGTGTTAGCAAAGAATTTGAATTCCTTTTTTAGAGTGAATAATAATGAAAAAAAGAATGGAAAAAAAATATTCCAAATTGTGACGTCAATGTGTTCCATAAGGAATTGCAGAAAAAGACTGACCAAATCAGAAAAAAGGAGGAGGAGGATAGTAGTGAGAAGTTGATTGATGATAAGTAAACTTTTAGTATTATTTGAACGATTTCCACGGAGGCCTCGGTAAGGTTGTCTTTTATACAAATCTCTTCCAATTCAGTGGATACAACAAAGCAGATAAATTGTATTGTCGGATCTTCTGTCATCTCCAATTTTCAATTGTTTTACTTTATATAGAAGTTAATTAATTTTTTTAACTTTTACTTATTCCAATATAGTTCTTTTGGAAGAGTGTTTCTAATGTCTTTCTCGAAATAATTCCAATAGTCGGCAACATCGCTGCATTTGATTCTGATTCTGAAAATACTTTTTACCTAACAACTAGTATCTATCCTATATCTATATTTACTTCAACACTCCACAAACCATTGTTCAAATATTTACACAGTGAATAGCTTAGCTAATGTTTTGGAAAATTTTTCTTACTAGTTATACAATTAAGCCTTTCCAGATAAATTAGAAAAAGTATATTTGAGACGGAAATCTCAATTAAGTTTCAAATTCGCTAGCACTCCAATTCAAATTATAAAACGTCTGATTTATAGTAATTTGCACAAAAAGAAAACTCTAAAATATTCCACGAGGTTGTGAGCTTCTTTCATAAGATTTATTACTATAATCAATTTACAGCCAGTTATTCTCAAAATAATTAAATATGTCAAGTTGTATATCAATATTCTACCAAAAATCTTCATAAATGAGAGAACTAAATGCATTGCTTAGATCTTTGATCAATGTATGATGTTTGGCCAAGAATATCAAGTTTTTTTTCACATATAAATGTGATATCTGTCTATATAGAACAAATTAAACATATTTGCATGCAATCTAGCATTTTGCATTAATTAACCTGTTTCAGGTAACAAAAACACAAGTTGTAAAGTTATTGCTACAAATTAGCAATGCTTATTAAATAATTACATACATTAGTAATTTGATATAGCGATTGATACAGTATTACTCTAATACCATAATTTCGAGCATATGAGTTAAAATAAATTATGAAATTTAGTCATATTATAATACAGATAAATAATACAGATACAGATATGATATACGGTAAGACAAGGGAGTGTCAAATTGCAAATGACATATATTTTTTCTAATAACCTCAAGCAGGCTTAATTCTTATCATTGCTGCCTAACAATTGTTGATTAAATGAATAATAGTTTTGGAAATTCCACGCAAGCAGAAACTATTCGGCACATTATTGACCTGACAGCATGTCAAGAACAACATTCTTGATAATTCTTAGTGTTTTACAAAAAGTATTAAAAGATCGTTTAATCAGTAATCAATAAATTATATCATCTATCTGATCATTTAGTTGCTTCCTTATCATGCTCATCATATAATTTGAATTTATAAATAATTTTTTCATGCTGAATTCAAATAGATTCTTCAGATAAATCGAATAAATTTCATGAATTTGATCTGCCAATATAATATTACTACTTGAATGAAGTAATTGTATTACTATTATAGTTGATAAAATTTTTAAAATGATTGAATTGATTTCACTTGAAGTCAAAATACCTTTCAGTATATCGCTTACTATATTCTACTATATCGTGTCTTATATGCTATAAAGTATAATATTATTTACATTGTGCTAATTGTTTCATTATGCATAATATTAAGATTAAAATTTTTTACTTAACAACTTCTTAACTTTATTTGATTGTAAGACATCGACAAGCAACTTACTGCTGCAAAGCAATAACTTTGATTTTCAAATAAATTAATTTCTTATCTGTTAATTTCGTTCATTTATCATTACATTTATTGTTATATCTCATCATCAATGATTTCCTCAATTTATCAATGGGTCTTATGTAGTGATAAAGTATCTAACAATCCCATGATTACTCCAACATTCTCTCGTAATCCATCGCCTCCTCCTCCTTCTCTGTGCTTCATTTTCACTCATAAAATTTGAAAAATGTTACAAAGCCTTACCTCAACTGATAATACTTCTGACAAAGGTCTCCTTCTTCCGCTCTTTGCTAAATAGTTATCGATTAATTTACAATGCTTGTTGCGAATCCTCATCCTTATCATTATCATTCATTGCTAGCTCTTTTTTTTTCTATCTACAATTCTCCCCTGATAAATAATTGACTTTTTCTCACTTCAAGGACTCCATCTGTCAAGAATTTTCTCGAAACTGATTTTTAATTATAAATATTTCTAAATCTTTATTTTTCTATGAAGCATTGCTTGTAAAATGTAAACCATTCTCATGGCACCGTCTCCAGCGGATGTTTTCATCCCATAAAAAATTGTTTTTTGCCTAAATAATTTAATCCAACCATTTTATCAAATGATTTATCTTACAGTTTTTACGAGTAAAATCATTTCTTCTCATGATATCTACTTTCTTCTAGTGTGAATATGTCCATCCTTGTAAATCTCCTTCTTACAAAATCTTTTCTATAAAAGACCATAACTTTGTATCAAGTCAGTTTCTTCGCAGTTTACACAGTTTTCTACAGTTTTACCAAAGTCACCGTTCCCGTTTTCTTTAAAATAAATTGTTATTATATTCTTCTTGTGCTACAACCTTACAAATCCCGAATTCGTCCACAAAGAACCCTTCTCCACCAAATCCAACTTCCACCATATTCAAACCGCAATTCAGTCTAGTCAAAAGTTCACGACACCATCTATTCTTCTCACAAATTCAATCTGACAAAAAGAACAATTGAATAATGCTAAAGCATAGTTTAAGGTATTTGTGGGAATTTTTAGTTGAACTATACCGGACTATAACTAATTTCGAAAGATTTATATTCCAAAGCAGTTACAGTTAAATCAACTATAATTAATTTGCATTGTTTAATTATAATTAATGGGAAATAGCGAGTTATTGAAGTATTTTTCCGTATTATTCCAACTTTCAACATTCCATGATGGAAGTAAGATAAGCATTTATTGAATCTTGTCATTGTTGGATTAAATTTTTGTACGAAAGTTATTTAATTCACATTTCAGATTAAATTAATTAGTTACAATAATATTCTATGCCAATAAATACATAAATTAATTCAAAAAAAATTACTATAAATACAAGTAAAGGTTAGTATGGAAAAGTAATATTATTCATACGATTGTAAAGTCTTTCGCCCACTAATGGCTTAAACCACGATGTGTGCTGTTGTTTCATAAGTTCCATATAATAACGGACGGAATAGTTTCCGTTACAGAAATCTTCCGCGCAACAATTATCACATCGGACCATGTCTGTTCCGTAACCGTTTGATTCGCAGGGCTCACGGCATATATCACCGCATGCACGTGACACGGCACTAAACGCTTTCAATGACGTTTCCACGGTCGTCTATAATCATTTCTATGATTCATTATTTTTTACCACTCTTTTCGTTGTTTCTATTTATTTTTACCTTATCAGTATTTTCTAAAAGCTATTTTGTTTTATTATATATAAGTGTCACTACATAGCCTATTGGATAAGTCAAAAAGTCAGTCATATTTCATTTCTGAATTATCATTCTAAGCTTTGCACTAATTGCTAATTAGCCCAGATTAAAACAATTGAAAGATCCGTGATAAAAATTAATCATGAAATCATCTGTATCTGAATTGTTGGTCTACGAGTAATAATATTCTCACTAGCTAAAGCAAGAAATCCCGAGATAATTCCAGTTGGTTAAAAATCTGCTAACACATGTATATGAAAAAAAAAGATGAATGAACGCATATATAAAAAAGAAAAGTAAATTAAACATTTACAATGCAAAATTTTTCCCACGGAGCGCAAATGCGTGTCGTTAGATCGCGATCAATTTTAATTAATGATTCATTAGCGCAAAAAAAGTCATCATTTTCAGGTGTTAGTTCAAGCATTGAGTAAGAGCACGAGTAACATTTTAAGGCGATTACAGTGCTTAGAAAAAACATCTTCGATAGCGATGGAAATATCGATAATAGAATTAGCTTTGAAGGATGTATAATGGATCTGAAATAATAATACTTACGAATATTTGTTATTAACTGTTACCATTTTGCTTATTACTTTGGCTGCAAAAGGGTGTATTTTTTAAAAGGCTTTTGTGGATTAGGTGAATAAGAGGCCTACTTCCTATTTCAACCAACAAATCCATTAAAATAGACTGCTTGCTTGAGCATTTGTTCTCTACAGCAGCAATCTTGGCCCTATTTTCAATCCAATTACATCTATTCCAATATTTCCCTCTTTCACTAATACACATTGGCTATTAGCGCCATAACAATCCAAAATAGCTTTTCATTCCATCCTGTTAACAACGGCTGCACCTTGGCCATTATTTCTTTTGGACCGCCTAGCAAAGACTTCCTCCATCTTCAACCAGCTCCCAGCAATGACAACTTCCAAAGTGATCTCGCAGGATTCTTCAAAGATATCCAAAATTCGACCTTTCCTTTATTTGAGTGGTTTGGCACCACTTACGCCAACATCTCTGAAACCGTAAGTTCATTTGTGTCACGCGTAGTTTTACGTCAATAAAAAAATAACCTGCAAGTAATGATGATAGCAATTAATTTTAATTAATAGCTATTGTATTAATTAGAATGAATTGCCATTACAGAAACCATAAGAGGTGCAATGATTAAAAGAGATTACGCAATGTCATTCATCCAATGATATTATATGGATGAAAATTAGAAATGATTTAAATTCAGATTCACTTGTATCATCAATTGTGTGGCAGGTCTTCGACAGATTGTGCCATCGCATCTTTCTGTACTTCATATTCCGATCGAAGATGACGAAGAAACAGATTTAAGTCCATACTGGCATGCTGTATTTCGTAAAATTGATAATCAAAAAAGAAATGGCGGTAAGGTGCTCATTTTTTGTGGCATGGGCATATCCAGGTTTGAACTTTTCATTAAATGCCTTTATATGAATTTGAGAAGTTAATGAAACGAAAATGAAATAATATATAAGTTGGTTTTTCTGGAATAGTGGGCAATTTTTTTAAATTTCTCCAGTCATATAGTTCCAATTCCTGTCTGAGAGTTTTGAAATACTTTCATAATATAAATAATTATTTTTATCATATTAAAATTCAATTTATAGATCAGCAACTTTTGTTATTGCATACTTAATGTGTCTGGAGAAGATGACCTTACGAGATGCCTATAAGGAAGTACAGAATATACGAAACATTATTTGTCCAAATGTTGGTTTCTTCAAACAAATGATCGAATTAGAGGAAAAGGTAATATTTCCTAAAATTACACATCCAAATTTTAAGAATGAACAAGGACAGAAAGAGTAGTAATTTTAAAATACGGTGTTGACCAACACTGACCATTGCTGAGAATTGCTGTATAATACAATAGGGGTCCATACTTCTAGTATGATAATAATGCAAATGCCCAAAATAATAAAAGATTTGCAAATCACTGTCATTTATAAGTAAAGGTAATCATCACAGTATAATTATCCAATGAATCAATAATTGATCATTGTTAGTTTATTTATGAAGTTTCAACTTACTTATCTCATTTACCATTAAGCTTTACAATCAAACTACAGTGAAGATTATCACTCCAATGAATGGTGTCGAAGTGCCGGATGTTGTATGGAAAGAATTATACGACGAGATGATAGATGATATTAATAAGAACGGAGGCTCTTGATTTAAATTTATAACCTAAGCTATGGATAGCTTATTCTGTTCCAGTAATTTATTTAAAATTATACAATTACTACCAATTCACTAAGTATATTGCTTTCTAACTCCAGTAATGTTTATTCAATTTTTCCACTTCTCTCATTTTTCTAATTATAAAAGCCCTTGTTTCATTGTAGGAAATTTGAATTAGAAATAGATTTAATTCATTAAATGAAATAAATTATTAATTGAAATGTGAGTTATTTTTTTTAAAAGAAATTTTAACATTAAAATATTGAATTTTCCAGAATTCTACAAGTTTCAATTTTATATATTTGCAAATGAAAGAGAAGTGGGAAAAGTTTTAATCAACCATCGCTATACTTTTCTTAGCAAATTTATTGGTTTCTTCTTTTTTTCTGATTTTTTTCTGATATTTGAAAAATCATTATCAGTAAATGAGTGAACTGGTTCAATTGAAGTTTAACATAGAAGATATCTTTCTTTTTAAAGACTGTTACATTTTCATTTTTAAAATCGTAGAAAAAATGGATGTTTATTAATGATTGCTTTGAAGAAAAAGAACTTCCAGCAATTGATTCTCTCGGGCCTCTCGAGTATTCTTCTTTTCAAGTATTTGAACATCAAGCCAAAAAGCGTATAATGTTTACATAGCTGAATCACTCTGAAATGGCACTTTTTGGGATCTGTCATTTTTGTGCCATTTATTTTTCCTTTCTCAAAAGCATTGCCTATCATTTAATCCTCGTCTTTTCCTATTTTCTTTTTATTTCGAAATTTTATATTTTCTTTTAAAATTCACGCTTTCATAGCCATATTTGATATATTTTTTTGAATTTTTTGTTTTTTTCTTTCTTACTTCACTCAATAATTTCATAATTATCGCGGATTTTATGATTTTATTAATAAATAAAAATAAAACATAATTATTCCAAACTACCTTAATTCGATGACATTAAATTGGACTTTACTGTACCATTAAACGGACATTTGCGATGCTTGTTGTATTCATTGCAACATTGCTGTCTGTTTCGAGAAAAAAGTGAGCTGTTATTATCGGTAATGAAATTATTTTAAAATGATACAAAACAGAAATAATTATTTTGAAGGAGTATATATCTTATCAATCAATCGAAGTGATGAAAAAGAATGTGAAAATGTTAACTTCATGTCAGGAAGAAATGTTTGATGTCATTATAAGTTCGAGTTAGAAAATTCAATTTCTTTGCACTCATATATGGTATATATCTAATATTATTAGTTAAATTATAAACACTGGAATTAAAACTAGAAATTTATTTCTAAAATCATCAAATTTATCAACCTGTAATAGAAGAAAGCGGCTAACTTCTCCGCTTCAACTGGATGGATGACAAGAATGAGCGAATGACAAATATCATTGACAGGCAACCAAGGCAGTATTCCAGGAATGTTTCGAAGTTTTAATCCAGCCGCCTTAAAGATTATTGAAGAAGTTATGATAAAATGTAACTTTGGTAGTAACAAAATTATATTAGAAGACAAATCACTCACTTGAGCAACTGGTCCGGTAAGAACATCGAAAATTCGAAATCCGGTTATATAGTGAATACCGAGTTGAGGTATCACGTATGAAATTTTCTTACATGTCTACAATTAATGGATTATTATTTAAATTTATCCTATCAAATTTCATTATTTCATAAATTTCTCATCAGATTAATAAAAAATTGGCCAGAAATTGATGAAATACACTGAATATGTTACTATTTTTCACCTGAACATCTTCAATAATCATCGTTCCACTGCAATAATCAGGAAACACTTTTCCAGGCCATTGCAATTCGTTCACGTAATATCGATCAAAACTATCACGTATAATAGGCTGCTTCGAAAGTATCTTCAAAATAATATATTATAAATAACTATCGCTCAAATGAGTAAAAATCGTTAATAAAAAATTTAATATTTACAAATGTAATATTCACCGTACATCCTAAATATCCATCAAAAGTATCATTCGCATTATCAAGTAATTTTTTCAAATTTTCACCAAATAATACAGCATCTGAATCCATGCTAGCCATTAATGGAATCTGTGAACATCGTGAACTGTGATAGTAATTATTGCTCCACCATTTCAGCAACAAATTTTCCCACCTAAAGCTTTTTTTTATCTTTCATAGTATATACAAAGGTGACAGTTTATGAGAATTCCTCTATGACATTAATATTGAGCGATGATTTTTTTCACGGTACCGTCTGGTCATTAACAGCAATAATATAAATGTAAGTGATAATGTAATTTCTCGAAAAAAATTAACTCAAATGAAATGCGTTTAATTTGAATTAATTGATTGGTAAAAGAAACGATGAGATTGTTGTTAATCAATTATTAATATTAAATATTTGAAAGACATATATATGTATTTCACATTAATTTACTACCCAATTAATCAACTAATTATTCATCTTTTTTTTAGAAATAACTGATATAATTTAATGAAAAAATAATGCTTAAAATTTCTACAAAAAAGAATTACAATACTTGTCAACAAAATTTGCCAATAAGATATCATGAAACTGCATGTTTTCCTGGAAAATGGCATCGGTATTGTCAGTTTGATATAATTCTGCCTCTGTTCTGATACCAATGGAAAAGATTACCTCAAATAATTTGAAATTTTTGCTAACTGGTTAAAATTCACAAAAAAAAATAACTGAAATTTTGGATTGTCACTGAAAGGAGAAATTTGATTCCCATCCATATATGTAATTTAGTGATTTCTAAGACTGTAAATTTAATTAATTTCTTTGCTTCAAGTTTTTTTTAAAATTGCTCTGTAACTTCTGTTTTTTTCATAACTATCTTACACTTCTTAAATATATTAACAAGATTTTTATCGACAAAAATTACTCTTTCTAGAAATCTCAATAATAATGTGCCAAATAAATTAAATACCTCAATATCATTATGTTTAGCTTCTATTGCCCAAGTGTTCCTGATCAAATTCCTGATCGAAAAACCGTTCTTATCCGGTGTCACTGCTAAGTACAAAAGTATCGCTGCATGTTTTCTTTCTAAAAATAAAATAACTGTAATTCTGCTTGCGTTGCAATTTTTCCTTTCAGTTAATCAAATTCCAAGCAAAAACGAAAGCATTCATAGCATTTTTTCGCACCATTTTTGGCAGATCACAAAAACCAAGCAGTGTTCTCAGAATCTGGTAAAATTAATTGAAAGAGAATTAAACTGATAGATCATTCGAAATAAATTCTTCCTGGAGAATTTCTGAAATCTGATATGCTCTATAGAGTTTTTTACCAGATTCCAGAAAAAAATAAATTAAATGCATTTCAAAATGAGTAACAAAATTAGAGAAAACTGATTTCAGAATACTTTACTTCAGCATTAGCAATTAAATGTAACAGAACAAGACGAAATCCACTAACTGTTAAATTTCAAATAGTTCATTTAAAGTTACTTCATTCTACTGGAAAATAAATTCCAACTTTTTTAACACATACTCGTACAAACTGCTGGTTCGATCAAATATAAGAATGGTTGAAAAATCTTCTCGTATTGATTGATTTTGTACCACGCATAGCGAAATTCCAATCCTTTTACAAAAGATGATGAAGGTTGTTGAAAATTCGAATTTAACACAGAAATTTCTTGCTTAATGGAAAAATTGCATAACTTTCGATGGCCATAAATCCACAAAAGAAGGACAATGATTAAGGTCGAAGTACCAATAAATTTGCCTCTCATCATTTTCGGATACGGAAACTTTTTGATAATCTAAATCATACATTATATGAACTTTTATCCCAAAAAATAACTTTCATTTCTTTTATTAGCATTCAATTTGTTTGGTTTCACTAAGCCATGATAGTGTTCAAACAGCAAACCGAAATGCTTTTCCGATTTACTGCTTGGATAAGCGAGGCGCACGTTCGAAATTCACTAGTAAAGAACATTAAAAATCAAATTATCTTTAAAGTGACTCGAATTTCATTAGCATTAAATGTGATAAACAAATAATATTACAGTCTTATTAATGTAATACTTATTGATATAATATTTAATCCTTAATTAATTATCTCTTAATATCCCTTAATTTTCCATTCTTCCTTAGTTGCAATTTTCTTGTGCAGAAATTCTGTTTATATTTAAATAATTGCCTGAAAAAAGAAACAGCAAAATTAGTAATAAATCAATTTCTCGAAATTGCAACAACACCTGACAAGATGACTTCTTGCAGATAATAATTATATATAAACGAATTTTATGCAAAATGTTTCATAAAAAAGAAACAAATTTGAAATGCAAGAACTGTTGACAGACATATCTTTATGTCATTGACTTTTAAAATGTGTGTGAAATTGGAACAATTTCAATGGTTCTAACATAGTGATTAAAAAAATTTGATATATTTTTTCAAATAAAAATAAATTTAATTAATAAAGCGATGCTCGAATTATAGATAAATTGGGATATTATTAAAGAATAAGGCCTATCGAATAACAAATCTTGCATTTAATAGGAAGAGAAAGAAATTTAATAGGAAGTTAGCGCAAGCTAAGCAAGTAATCAAATTTTTTCCTCACAGTGGGTTAAAGTTGAAAGAGTTCTTAGAGGTGATAATATTCGGTCGTCTTTCATCTGTATTCCAAATATTGCTGAAAAAGGTAGGTGGGGTGAAATATTTTAATGACATACTTTTGGAAAGGAAAGAAAATGAAAGCAACCGCATAATGAGTAGCGATTGAAATTCCTAATGAATGAAAGGAAAATTAAAATTTAATAAGTGGAAAAAATTATTTCTATCACTGATAATTGATGGATTTCACTTATCATTTAATTATACTTGATTGATCAATAAGAAAATAATGTATGGACGTGGAAAAAGTGGTAAACTGAGAGAGAAAATGAGTCTAACTTAGCTAACCAGACATTTTAAAATTCTGCTTGAAATCTGAAATAATTCTGACGAGTACTAAGTTAGATTTATGTTTAGCGTATTCTACAGTGCTGAAGAATGGATAGTTAGAAGATCTTGCAGTTTTGATTAAAGCAACCACTTTCGTGCATATTTTGTTCTTCACAATTGAAGCTTATTAGTTACTAGTCTGTTTTTTTTTTCAATTGAAACAAGCTAGCGACTACTTGAAATGGTTCCTTCGGTACTTTATATTGTAAATTAGAAGAATTGAAAACAAAGGTGTTTATTTTTATCAAAAAATTTTCTTTATAAAAAAGTTTATTAAAAAAATACGAATTAAAAGATCGATCGATGAAATTATTTAGCCGGTCGAAACCATTTGCATAGCTATTTGCCTTTCTACAAATAATCGCTTCTCGGTGCTATAAATGGCTAATGTATAAGCCACAGTTATTGTTAATATCGTCGTAACACCCATTAATATTAACATTGTTCCCACTGCAAAATTTTGATATTTTAACAATAACAAAAGCAAAAGAAAGCAACAGTATCTGAAAACTTTAATTCATTAATTATAAATTCATTTCTTGCTTGTTGTCAAAATGGTTTCATATTTTTTAAAATTCACTATTTGATAATAGTCGAAAATATTTGCCGATTGAATTTCCTAATCGTACTTTATTTACTAATTCTAATTCAATTAAATTGCTAAAATGCAGTCCTATCTAAGATATTGTCATTCACTGCATATGTGGCAATAACATTGCGTGATACTACGATAGTTCATCTCTACAGTAATGATCACAATTCAATTACATTTTCTTTTAAAAATTAAGTCATTCATAAATTTAAGAAGGAGTAAATTACAATTTACTTGGAGTAATTGAAGAGTTTTTCGTATCTGACACCATCTAAAATATTCTTTTTAAATACAATATTTATGAAAGTAAAAATTTATTAGATATATATGTGTAATTAACAAATTAACTCAAAATAAATTGAAGCAAACACCCGGAATTATTTGTTTTTCACGTGATGCCATTTTTATTTTGTCAAACATAAAGGAAAAATGTTTTCTGCTTCCCAAGACGATCAGTTATTGCGTGTTTTTTCTCCCCTGTACTTCGGCTGATTCATTTGAATGTTTTTAATTCAGTCTTTTTTTTGAACAAATTTCATGAGAAATTAAAAAACTGCATACCATTGTTGTCGAATTTGTGCTATTTGTGAAATTGATAGAAGATTCGTTTGCTGTTCGATTGGAGAATGTTTCATTGTTACCTGAAAGCAGCTTATATCACACTGATTGCTACTGATGTAATTATTAATCAAAGTCAATTGGTGAGGTGATATTATCATGAAATTATCACGAAAATATTTTTCGTTGTAATAGGTTGATATTTGCTGTAAAAGCAAAAAAATGCAAAGAATACTTTTTATCATAATTAAATTAAAAAAATGTATTAGCGATCTTTTACAATATTACTAAATTGCATACTTCGTAGATGAAATTACAGTTTTAATTTAAAATGTTTTCACCGTTTAATAACATAAAATAAGTTCGTAAAACAACATGAAGTGACTAATTAGTATCATGTCTAATAGATCAATCTCATCATTTGGAAAATTTTAGGCTAGCTTTTTGAAAGTTACACTGAACAGTGACAGTTCAAACTAGCTAAAGAATTAACTCATCCATTATTATGCTTATCATTCCATTCAAGCGTGCTTAAATGAGTAAATAATCTTGTAATATTTATATTAAAATAATATAATATTCAAATTATGAATATTAGATAGCATAAGACTACTCATGACTATTCTCTTGATCTTATAATTTGCTCTACAAAGCCGGAAAAATATTATCTCGTTGTTTTTGCATAAATGTATAATGAATGTATGTGCATAACTGAATGTTAGAAATTTGAGTTATCTGATTTTATCCTTACTTTCTTCATGTGTCATTAGGAGATGCTTTTAAAATTGCAAAAAATGCCTGAGAATCAACTCCAACTTGTGGTATTGTAGTAGAAGCACTAATATTTATTCGTGAAGGTCTCAAAAATTAGATGTCGATGAAGTAAAAACAGTAAATGAAATGTGTTTTTCAGAATCTCTTCTACTCAATCAATTTATCTATCAATCAGTCATCGTGATGTCATCAGTTAGCGACCTTTGGCATTATAATCAGCTGATTGTACTAAATAATTGTTTATTTTGAAAAGGATAAGTGCGCATGTCACAACCGCTTGTTGCCACATTTAATAAGCAAATTGATGTGTAATCTGTTATCTATTCATTGTACGTATCGGATGTGCTCGAATACAATTAAAAATAGGGAATAATTTGCATAGAGAAAGGAAAGTATTGAACAATTGCTGTTGTAATTTTCTTGAACGATAATGTAGCAAATGACATCATTTGTGTCGTTTCAATTGATGATGTAGAAAAGGTTATTGCAGGAGAGTGAAGGTGTGCTCAATTTGTGCAACCTTAACCTCTCCTAAATGACAACAAATTCAAAGCTATGATTGTGTGAAACTAATTAACAATCAATTTTGAAAATTTTTATTTTTTGTAAAATCTCTCCTTGCATTATGTTCCATTATTGATCACTAATGGCAACTAATCATTTCGAAATTGTTAAAATTAGAATGAGAAAAAAAGATGCGTGAATTATCAGCCACTTTAAAGCTTCACATATTTGTCAACTTGAAAAGAGGCCAGAAACAAGATGGCAGAAAAGTGATATACCACATTGAAACTTTTCGTAATGTTCGAATAATAAAACGGATAACAACAATATCGATGACTTTCGAAGAAAATAAAATGACCAAAAGTGTATTTTTCGCCTAAGCGATGTAATTTTAAGTTCCAATTTGATTTGCATCAAGAATATAAATTTGTGCTAAAATGAAAGATAAAGGATGAAGGGTGAAAAGTGAAGGGTGAAAGCGTACGGACGATACTTTTCATTAGACAGTGACATTGGACGGTTATAATTGAACATTGCTATTAGCAGCAGAAATGCACATCTTGTCTGTCTTTTTCCGGAGACTGTTTGTAGAGAGCTGTTTCTCGCCCGTCCATTCCTCTTTCATTTTGGGAATTTTCAAAAAGCAAAAAAAAAAACAGTTCTGGAGCTTCACTAATAGTAATAGATTTCATCGCCTCTTCACTGATTTTATTCGGAAAATTTCAAATAGTTGGGAATTAATTGGTATTTACTCATTCATTTTATTAGTACAGTTATTCAGGCTCAGAATATTTCGAACTTTCATATAATATATAAAAAATTTTTGGAATTTGATGTTTTGGGATACTAACGCTGTTTTTCTGCAGGAAAGTTATAATTCTGCAATTAATTAGCTTTCAATTCTTTTAATATATTATAGCGTGGTATTTTGCAACAATTCTAACAACGTTGTGAAACGTGATGAAATGACTTCAATGTAATTACTACGTTGTGCAAAAATAAGTTCAAAAACTTTTCACATCATTCGATATGGGAATTAATTAATCTTTAATTTAAATATATTTATTACCTGTTTGTCAACACCTTTTACTTAAATTTAAAGCTGAAAAGCACACACGAGAAGCAGCCAAAAAACTCTCAAGTCCTTCTAGAAATTTCTATTTGGTATATTCACTCATTAGCAATCCTTCAATGATCATTTTGTACAAATGAAGATATGGGGACAGAATGGCGGTAGACATCTGCATCTTTCATGTCGCAGAGTAGAAATTTATTTTCACTCACTTCAAAAATATTTCGCATTGTCAGCAACGTCCTTCAGAAGTAACAATTTTAATTAATGCAAAGGCTATCTGCAAACGGATCGGGAATAAATATCAAGGTATAACATGAGGGGATTTTTTTTTAAATTTAACTTCTCCCGAAAAATCTCAATTTTTGTCTTTTGTTTTCATCCTGGTTGTATCGATCGTGTAGAAGATGTGCCGGACTGTTTGGGATCTTCCGTGATAGAAGCAATACTCTCTCCAATACTTGCCGATTCCTCCACTTCTGACCGCTGCTTTTCCTTTTCTTGTACAGCATTCAATACCTGGCTTACTGTATTTTGTGTGACAGCTTCTTGTAGTGCTTTACCATATTCCGATACATTTTTCGACTTCGTTTGCTTTTTGCTTTCAATGATTGTTGATTCTGTTAATGTCTTTGATGACTGCTTGTCATTCCCTTCTGATACTACAGAAAACTGTGTAAAATCCGCTGACGATGCAGATATTTGCGTTTTATCGTCAGTCAATTTCTTACTTCCAACAATCTTAATAAAAGATAGTTTGTTTATTATGGATTTCATTTTCTGTATCTGATATTTCAATCAGCTCAGGTGAACGGAAAAATAATAATTAAAATGTTTCAACAAGTGCACTAAAGTCAACTGAAATATGAAATGAGTCGGCAAAATTTTGATCATTCTTCATCCGGTTGTTAAAAGTAATGGCCGAAAACGAAAAGTAAATGAAGCATTTTTAGATCGAAAATTCCTAAAGAATCTGAGGACGATGATTCGCTCAGAAAGAAATAGGTAATTAAAACTCATTTATTTAAATGATTTTAAAATGCTTTTGTTCAATTCAGAGAATAGAATGAAAAATTACCACAGATTTTCCAACAGTTTGCGCTTTAAGATATAATTCTGGCGCATGTTTTTTGGATGGTACCAAGTCTTTTAAACCAATTACTCTGAAACCGTATCACTTACTACTAACTGCATAACCGATTCAATTTCCAAAATATTAACTGTACCTAATGTTTCGTTAAGTAACGAAGATTTTTCGAAATCGACTTGAAAAATTATATAGATGGTAAAATACTTTCGTATCGATGTCACAAAAAACATGGCAAGATTTTTTTAGCTCTTCTATTCAACAAAAGCGAGTCCTCTCTAAACACACTTCCTCACTCCCATCACAGTTATCAACAATTCACATGACTCAATAGACCGACTTCCAAAGATTCAGAAATCTATTTTTCTTTTAACAGAAGTTATGCCTACCCTGATTGTGTCCGGTCAGGACTTATAAACGGAGTTCTGGGATGATGTTTGGCAGTAGGTTTGTGTGAATATTCGCCGCTCCCTTCACTTTTCGGCAAATCATTGTGAAAACTTAAGCGTATAGAATGTTCGACAATTGCTTTCTTTGGTTGATTGGGCTCTGCATTTGAACTGATTAAATAAGCTAATGCAAGCCTTAAATATTATGCCAGAATTTGCATCATGACTTCTAACCTGCAGATTTCCGGAGAAATTTATCAAACACGGTAGAGAAGTGTAACAAAAAGTACCATCTTTTGTGGTTGAAAATTTCTTCGCTTTTAAACAATTTGCTGAACCATATGTGATGAGCAATAATGTTGCGATGGTTAAATACAGTACATTTATAAAATCGATCTGGCATCGGATTTGGATAAAAACAGAAAATCGGAGCTCTTCATCACTGACCTATCCCGTAGCTCAATTCATCACAGAATGCCATTGCATAGGTAATGAAATAAAAGACTCATTATAGAAACCCTAATTAATAGTGTCAACTAACAAACATTTTGTATTTATCTCTAAAAATTAGGTTGTCAATATCTTCAACATCTGATATTAGACAATTTTTTGGCTTCTAATATACAGTTCAACAATATCAACAATCAGTAAAGCAGAGCATTCAATTCTAACTTCATGAAAAATAACAAATGAACAAGTCGGATGAGTAACTATGTCATAAGCACAGTACCTGAGTGAACAATGCTGACCAGAGTGACGAGAACATCGCAGCAAGGGCTTGTCTCGAACAAAACCGCACGTTTTTCTAGAGAATTATAGAAATGACTCTTTGTGCGCTATTCCGACCTATTAAAAATATTAGCTTACAGAAAATACATTTCCATTTCGATTCCTATCTCAAAACCTTCAAAGTGACACACAATTTGGCATAAATAACTTTTTTACTCGAAGTTCAAGCTTTCCCTTTTTAGAACTTCTGTTATTGTAATAATCAAGCCAGAAATTGCACACGGAACGTTGCCAACGGAGACAAAGCGACATCACATTGCTTTCAATAACAAATGAACAAATTGTTAGACAACAGGCTTGACTAATTCTAACGAACCGTCTTGTGGACTGTTAAAGTGGGTTTGTGACCGATTTTAATGTCTTACTGCCAGTTGTGAAATGTAATCTATGAAATAGAAAGGGAAGGATTATGCGGGGTTTGGCGATGTGGAACCTGAAGGAGGGACAGATTGAATTACAGAGTGGGAGGGGAGTGGTATTACTGATGATGTACAGGCACGGAACAGAGGAACACATTTGGTGAAAGGAAACGGAGATTGATAAGATTTCTAAAATTTGCAATGAAGCTTGCAGTTAATGAAATATTGAGTATATATAACGTAAAGCTAATTAGTGTTAGTAGAAAAACAATTGAAAAGCATTAGAGAGCTATTTCGCTAATTATGGATAGGATAGAAGAGCATTGTTCAGTCGAGGTAATATGTATTGTCGGAATGCGCAGATGTGCTGTTACAAGTTTTATTTTGCTAACTCTTCAGGTAACTGTCCTTCATGGCTGGATTCTCTGAAGCAGCAATGTCGAGACGGCTCCAAACGTTGAATACGACGCAGCAGTCGGTGCAAATGATGTCTATGTGGCTGTTGCATCATCAAAAAAGTCATGCGGAAACAATTGTCAAAGTCTGGCTTCAGGTAATTGCTTTCAGTTCTTTGCGAGTGTATTATAACGATTGACTGGTAATGTCATTTGAAGAAATCATATTTTATCATCAAGTTTTTGAATCAATTTTTTTTTGAAGACTTGTTCTGTGGCGAATTAAATTTAAGATTATATTATTTCTCTGAGTTTTGAATTCCACTATACAATTTTTATGATTTTGGGGCATTCAATTTAGGTCAGTAAGTTTTAGGCTTTCCATTCTTTATTGGTGCGGTGTTCGTTAATTTTCTTAATGTTGTGGGGAACAAAAAAATTCTTCAGTATACTAAAACGTGAATCTTTAAATGTGAAGATGGAATGAGGGGATTAGAATTTGAAGCTTATTTATTCTTCATTAAACGGTGGTGGAAACAGTTGATGTAGCTTTGTGTAGAAGGAATGCTTTTGGTTAAAAGCATGCTCTATTATCATGCTCAGGAAATCAAGAAAGAAACGACGCCGGTTCGTTTAATCAATCTGCTCTATCTTGCCAACGATGTTATACAAAACAGTCGAAAGCATTGCCCACATTTCATGGGAATGTTTTATGAAAATTTAGAACCAGCTTTTAGGTATGTTCTTTGTAGGTTTTGAGTCTTCAGTTACTTTTAAATCGCTGTGGTGTTTATTTGATTGAGGTGATAGTGATTAAGATTGTGAGTGTTAATCAGTCTGAAACAGTTTTTTTAAATTATTCAAGTAGACAGTTTTAGATTTACATTCATATTACAAGTCCATCCCCTTAGGTAAGCTATAGAATAATATCTCAGTGATTGCACCGTATTTCTTACCTTTCGTGTCTGTGGGATAAAATAAAAATAAATTTATTCACTTGACGAAATCACTTTGCAGGCACGTGAGTGTTCATGCGGATGCTGATGCGGTAGTGGCAATGAAAAAAATTTTAAGAGTGTTTCGTGAGCGCCAAATATATTCGGACGTGAAGGTAGATCGATTAATGAATGCCGTAACATCGTCGCTGACTGGAATAAGACTTGTCGAGTTCAATATCGAATTAGGTGGAACAATTTTAAATACTGAAAGTATTCAAAAATCACGTCAAACACCAACTACACCACCGAACGTTGGAAAGGCAGTGGATTCACCGCATTTATCAACTCCCACCGTTGATGCAGATTCTCCGGAACCAAAAAAGGTCAGCTTATTTTTTTTAATATATGTCATTTTAATTATCTGTTAATTCTTTCATTTTATATAGTTTTCTTTTATTTTCAAAGCTTAAGTGAGTTTGAAAGTCAAGATTCTTCTTCACTAGATCTCAATTCTTGCAGAGCAAAATGGACGGTGAGAATTTTGACGTTAAAGTCATGACTAAAGTAACAGAAGACGTAATAGCGTTGTTGAAAAAATTGGAAGATCCACCATCAGCTGATGCCGAAACACGGTAGAAATTTACTCTAATTGAAAATTTCCAGTCGAAGTACTGTTTTTTATTTTCTATTCTACATGTTTTTTTTTCTTTACATTTGGTTAAAACTGTTTGGAGTATTCTGGCTATACTATGAAATAGTTCATAGAAATAATGCTATTGGAAATTTTTTGCTTGCAATTAATATTTGGACACATTTATAGGTTCTAAACGTTTTTTTAGCCAACTGATAGCCTCATTTCCGGAGACGATAGCAAATCCTGCTCTTTTAAAACCTATCACAAATGAATCCCAAGCAGTGGAATTATTGAAAAAGATCAAGGAGGCTGAACCTGTGGTTAAGGAGTATTGTAAAAGGTGATTTTTTTTTCGGATATTCAGTATAATAATTCAACAGCTTTCACATGCAAGCATTGATTTCATAAATGATTTTCATCGCATATGCACTTTAGACTTGCGACAGAAATGGAGGACAGGCGGTCTTTGCAACTGCTGCTACCTGAGTATTTTGGTTTCTTGAAAGCAAGTGCAGTAAGAAACGACGAGATGTTACGATCTGTGCGAGAAAAAGTGGAAAAGTTAGAACAGGAAAAAATATCGGTTAGTTTTTATCATTTTTTTGATAGAGAAGAAATTAATATTTTGATTTTATGACTGAATAAATGTAGTGGTATATTTGACAAAATCTTTGATTCAGATATTTTCGCATCAGGGCTCAACGTCTATTATATTAAAAAACTGAAGTAAGAATTGTTAGTAATTTTAGTCGCAATTCGTTTTTTTTTTTTTTAAATCAGAACGACTTCGAAAAATGATATGGAAACAAAGCTCTTTTTGCCTGGTAAATAATTGAAAATTTTTTCAGGTAAAGGAGCACTTTGATTCTTTGCCTGATTTAGCCGATTTACCCTCTAGCGCGTTACCTCCACTTCCATCACTAGGTGAATTGTTCAAAAGCGGTAAGAACGAAAACGAAGATGATGTTGAAGTTGAAAAGCTTGAAGGATAAATTTTATAGATTTATGAAGATATGACATAATTGTATTTTTTCTCATTTTCACTGTTCAGTTGTATTGTTGAAGTGTAGGTTTTATTTCCTTTATTGTGATATGTTTATTAGCGATGTTGTGGATGTGAACATATAAGGATTAGATAAGCTGCTCATTCAGTTCCGTTGCTATATAAAATCATGCCACGCTACTTATTCTTAGCCAACCTATACTAGTTCTTTTCTAAATGATTCATTTGAGATTACTTAGTACTCTTTGTGGTGAGAGTTGAGCAAAAGAATAGCTGCTTTATATGAAAAGTGGTGTTTTCACTCATGTATATAAAAATAATATATAAAAAGTCAGGAAGCTGGTTTCTATTTGATCTCGAAATAAATTCGTAAAATTTTCCGGGAAAAAAGCTGTTTGTTATGGTTTTATTGCACCGATGACAGTTCTTCAGCTCTTTTTAAGAAATACGGCGAACATATCGTCGCAGTTTTAGAAGAAAAGAATCTTCAGATATAAACTGGAATAGCAATTCATTTTGAATGATGGAGGTAGTGAGGGATGTGTCGTTAGTCAGGATATGTACTATGCTCTCTTCAGCTTGCAAAGTTTTCGGAGTAAGGTTAAGATCAGAAAGAAGACTGACATGCGATTAGATAGAAGGTTCTTTGATGTTTGAGACTGAAGTTTTGCGTCTGATTTTCTAGTGCTATTACGCTTCTAATGGTCCATAAACGTTTTTTTACAGCTTTTTTCATAATTATGCTCCCAAGATCTGGAACTTGAAAAGACTGTAAATGTGTCGTTTATGGATGTTATTCTTCAGATATGGGTATTGTTGAAAAGATTCAGGAAATTGAGCATGAAATCAGTAGGACGCAGAAGAATAAGGCCACCGAGTACCATTTGGGTCTTCTAAAAGCAAAACTTGCAAAGTACAGACAGCAATTATTAGAACCAGCTACCAAGGGTGGTACCAGTAAGGGTGATGGCTTCGATGTGATGAAGAGTGGTGATGCTCGAGTGGCAATGGTTAGTTGTCCCAAAGACTTATATTAATTTTCTAGTATATGTATTCGTTCCTACCTGATTTTTTAAGTTCAGAAAGCAATTAAAGGATCTTATCTACAGGAATAAATGATGAGTGCGTGTTCCGTTGAAGTACATACCCATTTCATTGGGTTTTCAATTCAGCAGAAAATTACTAAATTAAAAAAAAGCAACTCTAAGGATAATTTTTATTTCAGGTTGGTTTTCCTTCAGTCGGCAAATCAACATTATTGTCAGCACTTACTACAACAGAAAGTGTTGCAGCTTCATACGAGTTTACCACACTTACATGTATACCAGGTGTTATCGAGTATGAAGGAGCCAATATACAGTTGCTTGATTTACCCGGTATTATTGAAGGAGCTGCGCAGGGTAAAGGTAAGATGTCTTTTTTTTGTTTTTTTTTTTTTTTAAACGCTCTTGATCTTGTATAACCAAAATTCAAAGAAGGAGCCATCTCTGAAAGTATTTAAACGATGTAAGATGACTATTAATCGTGTAGGTCGAGGAAGACAAGTTATAGCAGTGGCGAGAACAGCTGATATTATTCTGATGATGCTGGATGCTGCGAAAGGCGAAATGCAGGTCAGGCCTTTGTAGAATTATAAATTTCTGTTATAAAGGTATTTCATGCCGAAAATGGAAAAAAAGCTTTTAGTAAAAAGTGAAATATGTACACACTTAAAATGTTTGGATTTGTTAGGAGGGTTTGTTAGCAATTTTGTTTCTTTTTGATAATAGCTTTTGGTATTTACCCTTTTTTAAGTTTCATTGCTTTGTGTTTAGATGCGATAGAAATTTCATTCTGACTTACCAGCTATTATCAAGAAGACATTGTGACTTATATAAGTTATCTAGTTTTTATTAATCAAACGCTAAGAAAAAAAATAAAATTGTACTCTGTTCCCTAATTTTCTAAAAAAGATTTTAAAAACACTTCAGAAAACTCTTCTTTCAAAAGAACTGGAATCAGTAGGTATTCGCTTAAACAAGAAACCGCCGTTAATCTATCTCAAGCAAAAGAAAATTGGAGGAGTGAAGTTTACACATACGGTTCCATTAACACATTGTAGTGAAAAACTGGTAATGACTGTATTGCACGAGTACAAAATTTTCAATGCTGATGTCGTTTTCAGGGCTGATTGCACGTAAATTTTAATTCTTTCTGATAAGAAATAGAAATATAAAATATGAGTAAAAATTGTAGCTCCAATAATCGATCATAGATTTTTGATCGAGAATTTTTATGTCGCTACTTGCTGAATTACTTGTAACTGAAAAGACTTATAACTTTGCTTTTCCTTGTTTGCTTAATTTATGTTTCACAGCATATGGGTGATCTTGATATCCCTACATATCAGATTCAACAAAATATGAAAGCAGTGTAGTCAAAGTGAAAATTTTCCGAAGTTAATGAAGTTGATCTTTATTGAACAAAAATTAAAAATTAATAATAATGTCATTCTCTTAGAGTGGATGAATTGATTGACGTCATACAAGGAAACCGTGTATATATACCATGTCTTTACGTATATAACAAAATCGACCAAATAAGTATGGAAGAAGTGGATAGGTGATAAAATTTCTTATTATTTAAGAATGAATGAAGAGTAGTTTTTGATTTAATACCCGATTGTCCAGTCGCATGAGTCGATCAAAATAAGTGAAGAGGAGCAAAATCAAAGTTGATGCGTTTCAATTTAGACTTCAGTGCTCTATATACAAGAAAAAAATTTTTTTGTTATTCACATTAAAGATAATTACAATTACTGCTAAGAAAAGTAGAACTTGTATAAGTCAATGCTTACATTGCCGTATTGCAGGTTGGCTCGTCTTAAAGATTCAGTTGTGATTAGTTGCGAAATGAAACTAAATATGGATTACATGGTGGAAAAAATTTGGAAATATTTGGCACTGATCAGGATATACACCAAAAAGCCGGGGAGTACAGCTGACTTAGGTTGTTTGCAAATTGCATCATAAACTGAAGAATTTTATCTTTCGATGATTGAAATTCAACTGAAGTATGGCATTCATGCTCTTAGGCTATTTTCTGGTTATCAGTAGACTACATGCCTTTTATTGATTGTTATGTTTAAAATTTCTAAGTAAGTTGGTGGAATTTCTTTCAGAAACGAATAATTTGAAAATAAATATATTTTAGGACCGAACGATGGCTTGATACTACGACGTGGTGCAACAATTGAACATGCTTGTCATGCCTTACATCGCAGTCTTTCTGCTTCATTTCGCTATGCAATTGTTTGGGGTACAAGCGCAAAGTTTTCACCGCAGCGAGTGGGCATACATCACAAACTTCACCACGAAGATGTGGTACAAATTGTCAAAAAGTGATTCTTTGGGAGTTTTCCTCTTATTAATGGAGTTCATTCACTTGCTCTAAAGATAGTTGAAGATAATTTTGTTTGTTGTCTTTTCTGTTTTTGCTCAATATTGCTAATTGTTACTATTAGGAGATAATATTCATCTTCGTTTAACAAGTAGTACTAAGTAAAGATAATTTCGTTCATTCAACTTCTTATCCCAAATAAAACGTATTCGGAATTTCTGCATATGATATTTTCAATGAAAAAGAAGAAATAATTATTGAAAAGTAGCACTTGGTTGTTAATGATAAGTGAAGTTTACTTTCCATGTCTGCACTATATCTCATTTTCCATGTTTATTCCTAGGTTCTGAATATGATATTACAAATCTCGAAGTCATGTATAGTGTGTCTTGTGAATGGAAAAATATCTGGAAAAATTTAAAATACGTGCCAAGCAATTAAAACTAGATCACCATTATTATCTTTGCAACATTGTGATAAAAATTTTCATCTTAATTTCGTTTTTGAAGATATATTGAAGATATATCTATGCCTAATACGTTCATAACTATGCTTAACATAAAAGTTTTTTCATTGTCCATATTTTATTAAGTGCTTTGAGGAACTGTTACGAAATAACTGAATCAGGAATTAGGTCATGATCCGAATCAAGAATTGATTCAAATAGCTTTGAGTCAAGAATTAGATTATATGGATTTCTTTTAAGGATCCACAATCTCAAATCATTTTTTCAAATTATTTGTGGAAGATATTTGTTACGTTTCTGCATATACTTGCAAGATATAGCGTGTTAGTCGAATTTGTAGGGCACACTAAGCAATTATGAATTATATGGCTCGGTATGGTACGGTTCGACAGTTTTTTGAAGCACAAAAATTGTTTCTACCAGTTGTGGCCCGGTTTTCTAACGAGTCTTCTGCGAAGATCATTCAAACGGCACATGAATACAATCAGGAATTACGATTAGAGAATGAGCATATAGAAACAAAACGGTCTCGTTTATTGTATCAAAGCAAGAAGCGTGGTATTCTGGAAAATGATATATTATTGGGTGAATTTGCGGACCAAATGTTGCAAAAAATGAGTTTGCAACAGTTAATGCGTTACGATGAAATTATTAATGGTAAATATATGGAATGGGATTTATATTATTATCTTGCCGGAAAGAGAAATTTGCCAGAAGATTTAAAGGATTGCGAAGTATTCCAATTACTGCTAAATTTCGTTAAAAAGAGGACCGAAAAGGTCTGTGAAGAGGCAAAATGGCAAAGATAATGGCGAAGCTATCTTCATTTCCTAATACAGTTTATTTCTTAAAATTGTTTCTCAATTTTTTCTATGAAAAATTGCTGTTCTCGTCTTTCTTTTTACCAAATGTTATATTATATTATCAAATTTCTCACGAATCCAGATTCCAGTCTTTTTTAAAATATTATGTTGATAATTAGATGCGTCCGCTTTTCCATATTTTTAGTTGTAACCTTCTTGCCAAATGTTTTTTCCTGTGCTTGTTGACATTATCGAAATAGTATTGTAATTATAGATTTTCTGGAGTTTATGTTATTGTGAATAAAAATATGAAGCGGTTTATTAGAATTTTAAATTTCGTCTCTATCAAATGGCAGCCTTTATGAAGGAAGCCTAATCAAGTTTAAATTTCATATTTCATTTAAGTTGCTAAGTTTACTCTGATTTACTCGATGCAAAACTAATGCGTCATTTTACATAAACTGACGCATTTTTGAATCATTGAAATCTTATACATGTAGGCATTTGAATAAATGGAAATTTGATGTATCTATAAAGTAAAGGTAATTTCACGTTTGAGTAATTTATTGTATTTCGTCTGATTGTTCATTTACTACATTGCTTTTGCGTTTGATACATCGTGTATAATTTTAATGCTTAATATTTAGTAGTAAATTTTTAGGATGAATATTGGTAACGTTGTGATGACGTTATTGATCAGTGTGTTTCCTATTTCTGGAATTCAAATGAATCCGGTTTCAATCCCCAAAGGACAAAAACATGGGAATATTGTTATTGCTGCTGTCATTTCAACGCCACTTCTGCCAGATAATGACGGTTTTGGTATCTGTGAATTAGAGGGTTTCGATTTGAATCCAACTGGTCCACTTGTACCATGCAGTTTTCTTGACGAAAGGTTTGTTGTGCTTGAATTACAGTTAATTTACATGCTATAAAAAACCCAGTTTTTCGATTTAAAGTATGGAGTATGATTGGATGCAAACTACTGTTTGTGAGAGGAAAAAAAATAGAAATGTTAGGTTTTGGATACTATTCTTGCATCAAGCACATATAAAAGTATAGCCAGAATAACATTCTTTTTAGGTGGATTGATTGCGATGCTCCAGTGGATTTATCATCAATTCCTGAAGCTAACAATACAAAGGTAGATTCTTTAATCTCTAAAACTTTTCCAAGGATTTGATTTGTTAAATGATGCATGTGTTGTGTATAATTCATTATCATTATTATATTTTGCAGGTGGATGGTGCATGTGTTACATGGGGTGGCACACGTTATGAAAATGTGGAACAAACAAATGTAACCTGCCGAGTATTGCCGTGCATCGAATGTCGTGGTCCACGTACCTTCTTGAGAAAAGTACCCTGCATCAAGTATGCTTTGTCCCATTTCATATTTTCGAAGATAGCTAGTTCACTTACTTTGGCCCTTACTTTATCTTAATTTTTATTCAAAAGAATTTCGAAATCTCTTCTTTACCAATAATATATTTATATAATATCACTCCAAGTAATTGTTATATTAACATTAATTTTAAAAATCCTTTGACTAAAATTTCTATCATTGTCACCGATGTTTTCATTTAAATATCTTTGCAGATATACGGGTCATTACTTTTTATCAACACTGCTGTACTCATTATTTCTGGGGATTTTGGCAGTAGATCGTTTCTGTCTTGGCTATTCAGCTATAGCAGTTGGTAAACTGATGACACTTGGTGGTTTGGGATTATGGTGGATTGTTGATATATTTTTGCTGATCACGGGAAGTTTGTTGCCTGCGGATGGATCTAACTGGCAACCATATTATTAAGGTTAGCTCGTATGGGTTTATAATAGAGAGATAATTATTTATTGCTAACTTGTTGGAAATGTTCATATTGTAAACAGTCGCTAACATTTACTTGTTGGAATTATTCATATTATAAATAGTCGTCAGACAAATATTGAAGTACTTGATAGGTAAGCTAGCACTTGTTGGTTTTTAAGTTCAGTCCTCGCCAAACTCAATAATGAAAAACATTGAGAACTTATGGATGGCGTTACGTGTCTCAAAGCATTCCGTAATGACTGTTTTTCTTATGGTATTAATAGTCAAATCCAGATGACAATTGCATTTGACTGTTACAGTTAATAAAAATGTGTAAATATGTACATATTTAATAATATTGTCATAGCTTATGCTATTTTGTGGATTAATTTTAAAGTAAAAAAAGATTATCTTAGAAAAATTTCGTATGGATTCACTATCATCGTTCAACATTTTACGAATGGTTACACATTCAGATGTTTATTCATTAAAAACAAAAATCAGAAGTTTTGAGAAAACAACGCTTAAAAAATTAGGCTGGTTTGTGTTTGGAAATGTTATATTGTAATTATACAAGTCATCTTATTCGTTTTCGTTTAATCTCAATTTGTTTTTCTCAACTAATCCATTTATCCAAAACGTTTAGTATATTGTAACTTTATGAAGCTGATGTCAATAATAGCGATTTTTGAATTCATATGGATGATTTGCTCGAATAAAATCGGTTTTATAGACAATATTTGGATAACTGTCGGTGAGATGCATATTATCAAAATTTTATTTTTTCTTTATCTTTATTTTTGTAACGAGTGCTGTCGAATTTTTTTATTTAATTTTAGCTGTGGACTACACATATGCATCAAAGTTCTTTGTTAAATATTGTCGACCATGGTTTTTTAAAGGATGATATGAAATGTGGTGATGCTAATTCTCATAATCAATATATTTATTTATTCTGAAGAATTAAAAAGTTTTTTGGTACTTTTGAATATAAATAGATACATGACAGGAGTCATTCTTGAAGAATAAAATTGATAAAGGAAATAAATATGTAACAAGTATACTTACATCTGCTTGAGTGTTTCTGTTTGATGTTGAATAGCTAATCATGCAAGATGAAGAGGATCTAAATGTAAATTACTGCAAAATTATTTTACAAAATAGTTTCACTTGGGAAATTTTCAGATAGTAATAGTTTTTGAATTCGAATCACTTAGATTTTCAGATCTTCTTATTGCCATTCACCGATGCAAATTTATAAGGTGATAATTAACTACGATATAGTTTTAACCTCTATATTCAGTAACTAAATGAGCTTTGTTCCACTAGCATTTGCGTCCTTTCAAATCCGATCATTTCATTTTTGCTTATCACTGATACGATGAAGTGCTTACTGCATTTCATTGTATTAGTGATAAGCAAAAAATGAAATCTGGAAATCTAAATAATTTAGATTTAAAAACTGTTACTATTTGAAAATTTCCCAAGTGAAACTATTTTGTTTACTGCTGAAACTAATAGAATTAATGAGTAACTGACATTTACAATTATAGTGACCCCCTCGCTCCAATATATCCGTGCAGCCAAAAGTAGCAAGACTGACCTTCAAGTAAGTTATTTCTGTGGATGAAATTCTAGTTGAGTATTATGAGAAATGTTCGATCTTTATTATACCACAACGGTTATGCAGACCCATTTATACATTTTTCTAGGAAGAATAGCTTAGCACAAATTTGACAAGTTTGAAGCTTAAAATTTGTGTTTACTAGACAAAAAAGTTGCGAAAATATGAACTTGGTGTAAAGCTAAGCTATCATTAATAATGTAGTCGGTGATTAATTGCATAGACTTAGTATCCCAAATAAAGGCAAACAAAGGCTGTCATTTCAAATTCCAATTCAAGCAAATGGCGTTCTTCTGATGATTGATTCAATGCTTTTGCACTGAAAAATTTTTAATTTAAAGTAATAAAGCACAGGCGTCATCACGTGAAACATTGCCACATAGTTTGTTCAATATCAGTTGTCTGATAATCTGCAAATCAAATCCTAATTGCATATTGACTGGAATATAAAGTGGAAATGATTTCATTTTATCAGATGATTCGAAAATCTAAGAGATGGATTCATAAAAAAAACTTTTCACGCATGATAATACCTACCTATGAAAATGTTGCACGATATTTGGTATAATCGGACCAGGCCAATAACATCATTCTGGCCTAAAGAACATAATGATTACGTATTATCTATGCTTATTAGGTAGAATCTAAATTGACAAAGTTGAGAAACATAGTATTAGGTTTGCAAGAATAACGAGATCCTATTCTCAAACACTTGCAAATGCCTTAATTGTAAATTAGTCTTTTTTTTATAAAAAAAAAGTAAAATCCGTTATAATTAGGACAAATGGATTCATAAAAAATATCTTTGATAAATAATGCGACCAGTCTAATATTTTAAATACAGTTTTCATTTTATATTATAAGATATTGGACTGGTCACTTTGCATGTTACATTTGATTCCATCATACCTCATTCGGTCAGAGTATTCGGCATTCATCCTTTAACAAGCAATTCCGGCAAGTGTACTATGATTTATTTTGATAATTCTATTGGAGTTTAAATTAAGATTGATCATTGTTTATAGCATCCATATAAATGATTTGAAATTAAATTTGATTAAATTTGTTGTTATGGTGATCAGAGATTGGAATGTGTATGAAGAAAATTAGAAGTGCATGAAGTATGCACTGGAAAGATGCTAAACTTCATCATATAGTAGAAAGAAATGATGCGCAGCCTTAGATTGGATAATACTTGCGTGATCCACGCGAGAAATTCAAAAAGACAATATGAAGGTAGAAAATGAATAAAGAAAATGAATTATAACGGTAAAAATGGCGGAATCAAACACGGATAGATATAACGACTATTATTAGAAATAATTACAGCTATAGCATCAAGAATAAATAAATAACTAGTAAGCGGGGTCAAGCGTCATTGAAACGTGAGATATATGATCATCCAGAGCTAATCTGATATCTCAATTGTTTACTACATATATATTTTCACTCCTTATTTCCAGAAATAAATACAAGAAACAATCTAACTGATGTCTAAAAGTGTGTAATTCTCTCGAGAGGGAGATGAATTTTTCGTATAAAAATGTAAATGTAGTAAACTTAAAAACACTTTGTATAACATACCTGACTTAACAAAAATCGTAGTTGTTCATTGAAGAAATTTTACTAAACTAAAGAGTTTTGTTTGCATTATAACAAATGGGACCTGAATCTTGAAAGGAACAGGAATCCGGAATTTTAAGATGAATCACTACCCGGATCACTTATCGTATGCACATCGCTATAATGATAAAGATTATGACAAATCCATTTCAATAATAGAGGTGATCTGTATGGATCAAAGGTACGAAATGAGTGACAGTTGACATTTAAATGTCATCATGTCATCATTTCAGCATTTCAATTCAAATAGTTCTGCAAATTAATTGGTAGCAAACTAGAGATGGCATAATTTCCATAGTTGTGACGCTGTTCGGATACCGCCAGTCAGTTTGATATCTAAAAGTGTTATTCGTTAGCTTCACTGAATGGCGTCAAGCTTGCAAGTTTTCGGCTTTTCGGCCATTTGCCATGTTGAAGTCAGCAGCAACTGCACGGCTGTTCCACCGCTGCTGCAAGAACTCTTCAAACCGTTTCACTTCTCGACCTCCTGTACTTTCGTTAGCAGTGCCATCACCAATCTGGCTAGCTCTAAACTTACTTCTGATAACATCAGCTACAACACAGTTCAGTTCCACCAGATCACAATCACAACCACGATCATTAGATACCGACCAATGTCAGACTGATATTCCCGGTGATTGTAATCCATACTCATGTCGTGGCACTTGTGAAGGACGATATGTTCGATTTTGGAATAGCAAGCTAAAAATTGATCGAACTATAAAAAGTTGTCATTGTGTGCAGGTAATACAGTTAGTGCTATAAAATTAATAGTTATATATGTTTAATAATAACTGGAACAAATAAATATAAGAAACCAAATATTTAAAAAAGAACAACCCATACCTCAAGATTTGAACTGGTAGCAATATTTTCGAGAATTGAAGTGGTAGTAATACTCTGAGACAGGAATATTCCGAAACTTGAGAAAGTGACTCAAAAACTGACTTCTTATTTTAAACAAATTCAAACGCCTGTCATATTATTTCAATAAATAATCTCTTAATTATCAAAAATATTTCTTTTTTGATTTTTTTCTTTTCAATAATATTCTGACATCTTGCGCCATCTTACTATACATTTTCTCGTAAATATATACATCAAATGTTTACACAAACTCTTTTGCGGATAATTTTAGAGAGATTTCTTTTTTCTCCGATCTTTTGTGATTGATCACTTTTAATTGTTGTGAGAGATCAGAACAAAATCCTTTTCCGCTCTTCCGTTTGTTCATTTTTCTCAAATCTTTCACATCAAAAAATTTATTTGTTTGATTTTTAAAAATTTACAAAACATATAAAAAGCTTTTACTGTTTTCAGATTATAGCAAATGCAAACTTGCATTCTATAAAAAATGATAAATTTTTTCAAATGAGAGATTAGACCAAAAAATTTTTTAATTTCTTCACTTTTGAAAATATTATTTGTAAAATTGTATGATAATATTTTCAGGAACCAATATGTAGCTTAATCGGAATGAATGCTTACGCCGGTTGTCGAACTTATACAATGCTCTCTACAACAGCACAACGATTCATCCGATTATGGACGATGAGCGATACGGAAAAGTCGGATAATCAGCGATCCTCACTTTTTCCCTTCCCTTTTGATCGTTCTTGGGATCGATTACGACATAATCAATTACTTAATGCTAATTCTAAATTTTGCTGTCGCACAGCCAATATTACTTTTTCGGGTTCTATTATTTTTCGTTACAAATCGTTATCAATTTTGCTTCCAATTTCATTTGCTTTATTTTTGTAAATTGAACTGCTTGCACTTTTTTTTTGCTTAGCTGTGAATATCATTCAATGCTTCTGGGACTTGTCAGATAAGCTAATTATTTTGAGAGATATAAATTCGGAAGAATAAAAGAAAATAATATTTGATGTTTTAAAAAAGTTAAAGTTTTAAAAGATTAACATGCAAGTTTAGGTAAACATCATGATTATAGTTGTTTAATGACTGTTAAGAATGCTAAATGAAGTAAGTAAAGAAATTCAGAACTATTGACGTTTAACCTCTTGATTTTGTAATTTTGTTTTAAACGACAGTTCACATAAAAATATTAAATTCAATCACGATTAGTTAAACATAATGTCTGATATGATCTCATCTATTTGTTGCTATTTATTTCTTCATTTCATCACAGGATATTCTGAAATAGAAGATTGTTCACATCGATGAAAAAAATCCAAACTCCAAACCGTTTATTTAAAAAAATTTCGTTTTGTCAAAATCTTTATAAATATTACATAATGGGGAATGGTGAATAATTTTAGAAACTTATTATTTTACCAAATTTACTGTGATTTAAAGGTTATTAGGCTATTATGGTCTCTGAAAAAGAATTGGGATTAAAATGACTGAATGATTTGGACAGTTTGAAATTGGTACGAAATTCTAAATTGATTCTATAATTTCAAATTGCATACGACATGTATCAGATGAGCAGCTGTTTAATGCATCGGCTATCAGTTTTGTTGTAATTGTTTTAGCTTTCAAAAAATATTTTTTTTATTTAATTGAATTAATTAGAAAGCGAAAGGAATAAAGAATTGCAATAAATAAAGATTACAGAATATTTGCCATGAATAAAAAAATGTTGGACAAAATAATTTCAGAGAGCTCGACGTGATATACGAACAAGTGGATTCAAAACACGTAATAGCATTTGCATTTACAGGTCACTGTTTGCATTTCTAAAACTTACTAAAACTTCTTAGTTCAATTTCAGAGAAAGCTGCCATTAGCAGTTTTTTTTTAAGACTGAAGCAAAGGGCAATATGCACCTCATTTTACGCATTGGATAAAGGTTGTAAACACGTCACTCAATCATCCTTTGATCTGTTATATTTCATCCAACAATCTCGAAAATTTAAAAATCCATTTTTTGATAATTTTAAATCAGCCAACTACTAGTCCATTTAACTAGGACAGTTTAAAATCTAATTCTCAAAATGGACCCAATTATCATACATTTCAAGTTTGCAAATTTTATAGAAGCTATATTGAAATTACATATAAATTTTTTTAAATATGAACAAAAAAATGAATGATTTGAAATAGTTTGGGGTGAAATATATATGCGAGAATGAGCTGAAATAAATTTAAAGTTCACTACCAATAGCTATAATCTCTTTAATTAGAAAATCAAGGTCTTCTTTAGTGATTGCTTGATTTGAAACAATCATTCGGAAAAAATTTGGTCTTTGCTTATCTGGCTGATAACCAACCATTGTTGTTCCACGTTCCATCATTTTTGCTTTAATTTTTGGTGCTATCTGCAACAGAAATAATTCAGTATATCGGAAGTGATTAAAAAAGGAAATTGAAATTATCAGTTGGATAGAATACTGATATCTGTTATTTCATCAATTTTCACTGAAAATTTTACAAGAAAAAAGTGCTGTGTTAATTTCATTCATTAATTTCAATTAGATAAACCAGATTTCAAGTATTGTGCATTCTTCACAATTTATGATCTTATTGATAAATTTTTCGCTATCCCAAAGGATGTTATGCTCATGGAGATTATATAAGACATGAACTGAGAAACCGATACAGTAACTAGCAAAGAAGCTTCCCATGAAACAAAAAAAAAATTGTAAAAATCAAATAATTTAAAAGATGAGACAATGGATTTGTAGCATTCACATGGGACTTGCAATTATCAGTATTTTAACTGTTATTTAAAGAAATGCTTAAGCTACTTTAAATAAGCAAGCAAAAAAGGAGATATCAGTAAAACAGACAAACCTTTTCCAGACGAGCATTTCGTTCAGTTTTTTCCACATTCCGAAGACTTGGCGGTATATACCAAAAGCAGATATTCAAAAATTCCGGCTGCACGAAACAAAATATTTCACTGCGAGAGAAATCATTAAACTTATCATTGTTTGTTAAAAAGATATGATAAAGATTTGGCTTATGATTTAACGAACAGTCGGTAAATCCAAATAAGCTCAGTGCATTATCGACTTTTCTCCCACCAAAAAGTTGTGTTAATTTGAAATTTTCGAAGTGACAGAATTTTGAAAATTTTCGTAACCATCACTTACCGGATCAACAACTAATTCATAACCTTCAGTTTCTCGAATTCGAGCTGTAAAGTATGCTGCTAAATCCATCAGTCGATTGATTTGCCGACGATATCCCGTCATACCCTTAATTCCAAATAATTTTTACCTTAGCTTTTTTACACACATTCCTTCCATTGTCTGGCACGAAAATTTCTCAATGTTTAATGTAAACATTTATGGAATTTATTCATATTGATTGTTTCGTTTTAACATACATGCAAAAGTTACTTGCGATATTCATTAATCACTGTACGTTGTGGTACTTTCACTTCCATTTTGGAACATTTTAAAATCTCGTCAAAAGTAATATAAAGAATATTGACAACGAAATAGTTAAAATCGGAAGATCTGAATTTGACGTGTCGTAAAAGTTTGATATATTATCGTATTTCAATATAATATCTCATATTCAGTATAATATTTCAAAATGAGCGTGTGTCAAAATAATACTACAAATGCAAATCGTTTTCTTTGCAATTTATAAATCAGATTAGCTAAACAAGCAATTGCTTATCTTGCTATCATTTTAGCTTTTGCTAAAAGCTTTCTTTTTTATAAAGCATTCTTTTGAAGATTGGAAATTTTGACTTAATTAATTCTTTGTTTTTTGATAAAAGGAAATGCTAAAATTTGCAGATACTTTCACAACTGAAAGAAAAAATATACCGACTAATAACATAATTCATTATTAACATCTCATTATTGAAAAGACGGTTTTGAGAGAGTGCAAGGATAAGTAAGTTGGTATTTTACTTTTTGATGAATTATTTAAAATTTTTGAAGTTTATACTATGCTAAACGGTAGTGGTATAAATTAATCACTCATTTATACCAGAAAATAAAAATTTGAGGTGAATAAAACTCAGGAGAGTAACGGCGACATAATAAAGAAAAGCTCATTTTACGTCTATTACAGAGATCAATATTTTTTCAAAGTATAATTCTAATGTTTTTGATATATCTCTATTGATTACTAAAAAAATGTACCTTTGACCTCCACATTAACCAAAGTTTGAAGATATCATTGTGTCGACCACACTGCATCGCCTTATCACCAGTGTCAAAGCTAACATCGTAAGGCTTATCCTGTTGAAACAAGTAATCGGCTGACATCTGATTTGTTTGGAACAAAAGGCCCTAAACCTTTTTGAGTTAATTTAAACTTAATTTTTTGAATGATTCTTTAAAATATCATAGCATTAAAAAGATATTTAATCTTTGATACTTTATAAAAAAATAATCAACTGAAAGAAAATGTTCGTCACAGCTTCTTATTATGAATATTTTAATTATACTGCAGCTAATGAATTTCTGCATTTCAAATTACAGTATAAATTAAAATTCATACTTCTTGCTTAATGAAACAAGCACTACATTGCAACAATGCGCCCATCAATTTATGAGGATTCCAAGTGACCGAATTAGCTCTTTCTATACCGCACAATTTATAACGATGTTCCGGTGATAGCAATAAGCCACCACCCCAAGCTGCCTGTAAATTTTTTTTTGTTTCAACTGGAACCTTAAAATCTAGTCAGTGTTAAATCTTTAAAGAACAATCTTATTACCTCATTTTTTTTTCTTGCATATAAAGAATGCAGGAAAATATAGTTTATGCCTGTTTTAAACTTAGACTTAGAAGATAATATTAAATTTCGAACAATATAACAAAATTTATATTAGAAGATGCTCATACTTTTAATAGAATAGATGTTCGGCCATAGCATCATCAGAGCAAAATATGATATATTCAATAAGATAAGAATAGTTATTGATGAGCCATGCAAATTTTCAAAAAAAGAAAAGTCAAACATCAACGTGAAGCCATAATTTATGACGATCGCATATATCTGCTATTTGTGGTATCGGATCCCATGCACCATACACTGTTGTTCCAGCTGTTGCACAGACAAAAAATGGTTCCATACCTAAATCAAAAAACTAAAGAAATAAATATGTGCTTACCAATTGTTTAAGAGAGCATGAAAAACTAAGTGAATAGCTATCTACCATTTATTTTTTACTTTTTTTTCATTGGTAAATTTTGTAGAAATTAAGGCAATTTATATATTAGCATCTCTCTTTACAATAAATGATATCGTTCCAGTAGGTAATGCTGGAACTTATTTTTTTTTTCTTGGATTCTAGCATCAGGTAACTTAGATAACATTATTCACTTATAAATTACCTGCAAAAAATATGAAGAAATCGTCTTATATTAAATGAAAATATCATAATGTTAGTCGTATCATTACATTTATAATTAAAATAAAATAAAAAATTGTTCTATTACCAGATTTTTTGCATTGTATTATGCGTTGTTCCAATGCCTCAGGTATCATTCGTCCGGACGGGTCAGTCGGAATATTAAAACAGTTATCGGTACCAATACCCATTACGGCTGCTGCTCCCTTGATTGAGTAATGACTCTATAAAATATTACTATTAAATATCAAATAAAACCATCTCTTCATAAAATTTGAATCCACGAATTTGATTCGTTATGTGAATCATCTGAAAGAAGTCCACGTTTTTATACACCTATTTTCTTCAAACGTTTGTTAAACTTTTCACTGTTTAAAAAGTGAAAAACTGTTATCATATTATTATCAAAAGCTATACTCATCTAAATGTTGCTATTATTATGAAATGGTGAAATTAAATGTTACTTACATCCTCAGAAGTGAAGATGCAAAGAGTTGGCAGATCGTTTTGCCCAAGCGGTTTACATCTCGGAAAACGTGCGTGTCGTGCGGCATTCATCGCATACAAATTTGAAATAGCGCCACCTGTAACTCACTCATATATTCTGCGCTATTTTTTTTCTTTCTTTTTATTCTCTAATCATTTCAATTAAACTTTTTCATAGATATGGCATTATTCAAATAAAAATAACAGAGAATCTGATAGTCACAGATATGCTTATCATTGATTTACTGATACAGTATGCGTTTTGATTCATCAAAATATCTAAGACATGGATATGAGCTGCCATATTTAGGTTATTTTCCCTAATTCCATTACACATTCATAATAATATTTATTATTTTGATCTTCCTAATACAGATTGTTTCTTGCTCGAAGAGAAAATTTCATCTTTCCTTGCTCATCATCCCTTTCAATGATTCTGATTGATTAGAATATTCAGAGTATCATGATGTTATGATAAATTATCAATTATTACAAATAATAAAACATAAGTTCTTTATTCTCATCGTCTAATTTCACTTAACTAAGGAATTGTGTAGATTAAAATGTCTTCAGAATCTCAATAAATTTTGTCAATGTTTTTTATGCCATAAATTTTATCCTATGGATAGACAAATGAGCAACGCAAAGAGTATCTGAAGTGCATCACCACTCATTTTTCGAAATTTGTTTCTTAATTTTTATAGAGAAATTCTTAGGCAAACATTTGTAAGCCAATAAGCTCACATAGGCCATAGGCTTTCTATTTGCATTTATTTAGGTTTTGATTTTGTTTATGTATGAAAAATTACACTAATTTTTACAAGAAAAAACAGCTCGAAAATATTTAATTTGGCATTTTATAAAGTTTTCAAAAAAAATGATACGCATTTTAATCAGTTCAGTTTACAGGATAGGGAAAATATTAAAATACTGTATTAATATATTATTAAGGAATTAAGGTGCTGTATATTAAAACATTCAATTATCTTCTGGACCCCTCCAAAATTAGTTATGATATACCGGGCGCAAAAATAGCATCGCTATCCTGCCAACCAATCAATTCAGCCATTTTCTTCGTTACTTCTTTTTCCATCAAGATAAATACTGGTGCAATTTCATAGGTAAACCTGTGCAAAGATTGAAGTAATTCCAGTCTAATATTGTTTAGTTATAATGATAAATTAATGTAAGATAAAAGTAAAGAAGTTTTCAGGCCAACAAAAACTATTAATTTCCGATAAATTAAACTAATAAGAAAGAAAAAACCATCGCAATCATTTAAGGCAGTATTTAAATGATTGCAAGAGTGTTCTTCCTACTCTTGAAATCAATCATTTAAAGCAAAATAAATTTTCTCGAACGTTGACTTTTCACATTCTAATTTTAAATTGACTCGTGCTAATTATAACTTTCTGAATTTACTTAATAAACAAGGGAATAAATTTTCATTATTAATGTTGTAAGATAGTTTTATTTTTTTTTAAATGTATAAAAGATGGTACATAAAATCGTACATATTAGTGTTAGCAGTGGCAGTGAGCCATTCACCAACCATTGATATCAGATCAAGTCCACATGATATTTGATTAAAGAAGCGCGGATGTCCAGTTCGAACACCCAAGCGCAATACCTCTCGACAGTCCTAACAAATGCCTTAGTTCACAAAAACTCCTCATATGATTAGTGTGACAGTTGTCCGGGAAATTGCTAACTTACAATAGAATTGTCCTATATTGCAGCAAAATGTGTAAGATCAAATAGCAAAGATTTGATTTCTATCGTTTAATTATTTTTTCGCTTCTTTTCAGGGAAAAAAATCATTATATTCATTATATCCGTTTGGCATCCGACTGTTCACCTGAAGCAACTCTTGTAAAGTACATGGATTATCCGGAATACTTAGGTCGATCAGTTTTTGCATTTCGGCTGGATGATGAAAGTCCAAAATTTTATTTTCACGTTGATTTTCCTCGTTAATATATTCCAAGAGAATTTTGACAACTTTTTCCAGAAATTTCTTCGTACCATTCCAGTTCCGTTGATTTTGCGGTAATAGATCTACGAAAAAAATTGAATTGGAATTTCCGAAACGACAAAATATAATTAGGAATTTTTAAGATAAATGCTTTAATTTTTACTTTAAGCCGTTCCATACTTAAGTAATACAATCATTTATGGATAGAAATTCCAAATATTTTCATTCTTTAGCTTCTTTAGAGTTTTTCGCAACAAAATTTGTTGTAAACTAAATAATACATCCAAAGAATTTGTTTGCTATTCAATGAATACATTAAAATGGAAACTGTAAATTCAATTGAAGTAGATTTCAGGGCATGAATAATGTCAACTATAAAGGAATATAAAAGAATCACTCGAATATCCATATTCTGCAAATATTTAATATTGCACTGCTTCAATATTGGCGTAAAAAAATAGCAGAAAAAGAATACCTGAGGCATAAGTTTTAGTTAAGTTAGTAGAGGAAATTGTGGAATTGGACTGCATGATAGGGAAGATTGGGAAACTCAATAAGTCTTCTCTGAAGGACGAAACACAGTGCTTTTTAAAACTCAATGAAGCGTAACATGAAAGAAGATAACAAATTTAAGGCAATACAAAATACCAATATTAGCTTGAAGTGATGGGAGGAAGAAGTGTAGGAAAAAGGAGGAATGAGTTACTTGAAGGAGTTACAATGATCTTCTCAGTACACATTCCATGAGAGCCATTCCTAGCAATTTAGCTTACGGTAGCCTAAGAATTTCTCATTTTATGCTCTCATGCCTAATTTAACCAATGTGCATTGTTGTTTTAAAGCAGAGAGTACTTCAAAAATATTTTATTTTTCATAAATTTTTCGTTCCCTCTTCTAGGCACTGTTAGATATTTTTATCCATTTAGCCAATATCTCGCAAAAAAAATCAATAATCGCTGATGACTATAATCAGCAGCAACTTACGGATTCATTGTCTTTCTGAATTCAATCGATTCGTTTACTTTAATGAGGAGAGATGAAAACTAAGGCTTCAGAACCCTCTGCATGAAATATAAAAAGCATTATGTTGGCATCTGGTTTTATAAATGGCCCCAAAGAAATCAAGAACATTTCCTTATTCCAAAATTCCCTTATTCTTATTCCTTATTCCAAAATATCAAAAAGTATCTACCTTTAATTTCATCGCAAAAAAATTGAGAATGTTTTGAATTAATGGCAAGTCTCAATTAAACCACACATAGCAAATTACTTGCCATTCTCAGTGCTTGAAGAAAATATCATCCCCGTGTCACAATATACCTTACTGATATATATAATCGGACCCAAAATCTATCATGGCAACATATTTTTATAAATTTTTTCTAATAACAAATAAAGTTTATTAAAATGGAAAATATCAGAAATCTGAAATATGAAGTGGAATCATATGATAATGGCATTCATGAACCTACAAAAAATCATTGCCTCGATCCACTAGACAACAAAAAACACTACTGGATATTCACTGAGCTGTTTTTATGAAAGCACTTATAACTTTGCTAGTAGCAAAAAAAAAAATTTTCTAACCTAAAAACCTCTTTTGGCTTTGATCATTCAAAATATGCTGGCAATAACACTAAATCGTACTAATTAAACAAGAACAATACACAAGAAAACAACCCAGATTTTCTAAATAAAAATATTAAGCGAAAGTTAGAAAGCCAAAGAATGCTAACCACACTGTTAGATTTCGAAACAAAAACGAATTAGCACGAGACACAGGTCTCCACTTAATATATCCCTACCTCTTGACATAAAATTTACACTTTTTTTACTCTTATATATTTAAGTTCAAAAAAGGAGAAGTATCAATAACTAATAAATAAAACGAAGGAGTAACTATTTTAAAACGAAGATATAAGTAATTCAGTGCATAAGTGAAGTTTAACTAATAAAATTTTCTGCAAATCATCACTGTATTTTTTTTGCGTTACAAAGTCGTTTATGCCAATTTTGTGCCAACGAATTGATTATGGACAGTAAAAACCACACTATCATAGAGGTAACAATAAATGAAGCACCCTTCTGAAGCATGGTGCTATCCTGAAATATAATCAAATTAGCAAAATTTTTTGATATGCTTAATTCCACTTTTAGAGCATTCTCATGAGAAAACAGACCGAATCTTTAAAAAAATCATTTACTTTTTTCTCCGTGCTTAGTGAACAAATAGCAATTACTACCTCAACATGCGCGACTCCACTTTTATGAAGCTTGATTTTCTGAAATGCTAAATACTCCGTTAATTTCTGGTGAAATTGCATACCAAATACTGGAACCGTTCTGAAAACTATTTTTCTATGTTAAAAAAACTTTTACCACAGATTGCATCAGTTAAAATACTAGTTCTTTTTACCACAGATTTGTATCAGTTAAAATATTAATTAATTTAAGCAAAACAGCGTCAAACAATATGATTAAGCAATCAATTTTTATGGAAAAAGACTAACTTCAAGTGAACTAGAAGATGCTCCACCGTGTTTTCACTAAAAGCCAACACCACAAAAAACATCTAAAACAAAAAATCTCAGGAAAGATGACCAGGAAGTCAAATGAATATCAAACAACACATAATATCAGCTTTCACCGGAAAAAAGATACCTGAAGATGCATTTTGAATACGGCTTTTCCAATGAGAGTTGCCAAAAAGAACTTCCAGAAAGGAACTAGAAAATGACCACATGTTATACCAGCTAAATCGAAGAACGGATTCGGAATCTAAAGATGTTCTAAAAATTAATAAATATGCAAGATGATGCATCAAAGAATAACATATGCAAAAAAATATGACGACAAAAATTGAGATATCCAGAAAAATGCCTACTGAAGCGAAGGAAAGAATGCCGAAGAATCCAAGTCTAGTAACTGCTTTCTCCATCACTTCTTTACATTTCTCGGTAAATGTGGGTGCTTCAGGTCCATTTCGATTAATGTAGGCTAGAAATTCCCTGAAAATAATGCATGTAAAATAATATATTACATGATGGCCAATAAAAAAGTAATATAACCAACAGTACAATATATACCTGTACTCCTCATCATCTGGCTCTTCACCAGAAATTCGCGCTGCCTTCGCCATAAAGTAAGGTGGTAATTCTCCCAGTGCTGTACCAGCTCCCCACATGAGTGCTTCAACACGTACCTGCAATAAATTATAACACAATCAGACAATTTCAGCAAAAATTCATTTATTGCCGAAAACTGTATTCTGATCGACCTACTTTTGACATTATCGACCACACGGTCACTATTGCATTCTCTACGATACCTTCCACATTTGGACATAGAATTCTGAAAAAGAAATTTCTATGGAAAAATTGGAAGCAAAGGAAAATTAGCACTTCCAACTACTTGTTTATCTTGCTGTTCTTATCTTATGAAATAGAATAGTATAAATTTTGCAGTTTCCGTAATACTGTTTTTGTTTTGACAAATCATTAAATGCTAAAACCTTTCCGGATATGGTGGCTCAGGAAAATCCAGTGAATTACATTCGTAAGCTGCCACAGTGACTGAAGCTATATGTGGTCCCTGTAAGCTTCTGAATTTTCAGTATTATTATAGCACAAAACAACTGAAACATGACCTGAATTCGTTTTCTAATAATGAATCTTCAATTAAATGCTATTGCTATTGCAGGCTTGAAATATTTTTCCAGTGTTTTGAAAATTGTAGTAAAGCAAATTAAAAACAGGAAATGATTTCAATATTTCTTTGTATGCTTATCATATCTGACGAATGGGTCAAACTCACAAGATATAATATAAATGTGTGAAGACCAGTTCCAAGCCCAACAGATGACAGTATACCCAAACCTATCCAATACAGACATCGTAATAATTTCACTTTCCAACTCTGAATGTATCTTTGATGAGCGCCGGGGGCACGACAAATATATGTCCCAACAACACACAATAATAAAATGAACAATATACGAGCTTTACGCATCCATAAGCTGAAAATAATTTCAAATGAATCTAAAATAATTCGAAATTTCTATATAAAAAAGTAAAGCACAGAAGAAAGAACTTTGCAAAGAAAATCCTGCTGAAAAACTAAAACAGTGACCTATCTTAATTATAATTCTGCAGGCGTTTCTTATAAAAAGCAAAAAGTTTGATGATCTACATACTCCCTAGCATATCTTAATTCCTTTCAACTAGAAACATCAAGAATTTTGTTTCTGAAATTTCGAGAGAAAAACATACTAAGAGACGAACTCGATCAATAATTGTAATATTTCACGAAGAGCATAGTGAATTGTCTGAAACGGCCTCTTCCAGAGAACAATTTTCTGCCGTTCTAATCTATTTAACGTTCCAATAGATGGACTTGTTATTAAACCTCTACCGCTCGGTTCAATGTAATAGTCACTGAAGAAAGAAATAAAAATTACCAATTCCATAATCATGGAGAGCAATAGAAGTATTGGAGTCCTTCCCTTGCAAGTCCATCTATCTATTAAATTTCACAACCATCTAAATCATTTCTTACAGAAAAAAATCCAATAAAATGTCAGTGTAATACAAAAAAAAATTCTAGTGTAAAATTACTAAAGATGAACTTAGTGTCTAAAATTTAATATAACTTTTGATCACAGGGTGAAATTTTTGTCAAACTCTTGCAATTCTTCAGAACCCTAATAATACAAAAAGACGGAAACTGTGATTTTAACAACTACAAGTTAAGACAAAACGAATCAAGTCTTGAATTCCTTTTCCTTCGATGAGGGACCATGCAAATTGAGAGTATTTCATTATTGATTTATTCGGTTTACCTGACAAATAATGTAGAAGGGAAGAATATCTCTCATTACTTAATTTAATATACATATCTTTATACTTCAGCCGGGAAAAGCTACGAGTGAAAAATGAATACCTGGGTTCTTTTGAAGATTCATCAAACGTTACTTGTCTGACGAACGCCGTAGTACTCACTGATGGTACTGACGATGCTTCTTCCGCGTTCTGCCCTTGATTTCGTTTTCTTTTGCCCATAGTACTGTGTAATAT